GGCCGGCGGCCTCACGCTGGGCGGGCTGTTCCCGGTGCACGCGCGGGGCGCGGCGGGCCGGGCGTGCGGGCAGCTCAAGAAGGAGCAGGGAGTGCACCGGCTCGAGGCCATGCTGTACGCGCTGGACCGCGTGAACGCCGACCCCGCGCTGCTGCCCGGCGTGCGCCTGGGCGCGCGGCTGCTGGACACCTGCTCGCGGGACACCTACGCGCTGGAGCAGGCGCTGAGCTTCGTGCAGGCGCTAATCCAGGGCCGCGGCGACGGCCACGACGCGGTGCGCTGCCCCGGGGGCGCCCCTCCGCTGCGCGCCGCACCTCCGGAGCGCGTGGTGGCCGTCGTGGGCGCCTCGGCCAGCTCCGTGTCCATCATGGTGGCCAACGTCCTGCGCCTGTTCGCGGTGAGTCCCGCGCGGGCTCCTTCTCGCTCTCCGTCGGGCGGGGACGTCCGCGCTCATTCCCTCCAGAAGTCCCCGCTCTCTCGGGCTCACACGGAGCGCAGGCCTAGGGAGGGAGGCTCGGGCTGCAGCTCCCGCCTGCTGGAGCCCTTGGGACGTGCACGACCGCCGCGTAGGAGCTGGGCCCTCTGGGTAACCAGCAGCTTTGAGTTTTCCCTAGAACCAGCCCTGGTTTTCCAGTGACAACTGGGACTTGACCCCAGCTACCCCCGAAGGATGGATAGGTACGCAGATTGGGCCCCTCCCTCTTTTGGCCTTTGAGCTCGATTTGAAAATGTCTGCCTTTAAACCTCTCCCAGGGGCATCTAAAAGAGGGGTCAGGGGAACCCCGGGACCAGGCTGGGCTCCAGGAGCTGCTGCAGCTTCTGTCTAAAAGGACAGACCGGGTCTGGAGCTCCATCTCCCGGCCACGTGGCTGTGCCTGCAGCAGCTTCCCAGAGGTGCCCGGGGCTGTCGGGGAAAATGAAACTCAGTGTTTCGGGTAGCCGGGCCGAGGCCAGCTGCTGGGAGTGGAACCACCCCGCGGGTCCTTCTCTGCCCTTCCCCTTTCCCTCTTTCTTTGGCTTTCTCTTGCTCTTTCTTTCTCCCGCCCTGGCCCTTCTTGGTGAAGGACGCCCACAGCTCCTGGGCTGCCCCTGCTTCCCTCTAGAGTGTATCCTTCTTTCTGTGTCTTTTTAAAACTCCGTATTTGGCTACAGGGCAGGACACACAGTAGACGCCCTCATGTGAGCGCACAGACGGGATTTGGATCTCCCCGGCCTGCTGCACTTGCAGCTGCGCTGGCTGGGCTCTCTGTAGCCGAGTCTCCTCACCGAGGGACTCCCACTCTGTTCTCGGCCTGGGCTGCTCCCAGCCTGCTGCCGCTTGCCCTCCACCTCCACCCCCTCCCTCTCCCCCTAGATGGGCTCAGCTCTCTTAATTCCACTGCTCCTCCTTCTAATGTACACAGCTGAAGCCCAGTTTCAGGCAGACCCCTCCATTGCCCTGGACTGGCTTGAGTCTGACACCGGCTCCAGCTCTGAGGTCTTGGGGCTCCCCCTATACCAACTCCCATGGGGAGAAGCTGGAAAATGTGCTTCCTTGGGGCCCACAAGGATGCCCATCCCTTTCCTGGGGAGACACGTGTATGGCACTTAGGTTGGCTGCAGGCTGGCATCTGCCCCCTCCCTGGTCCCCAGGGTCCCTGTTCAGGATGCCGCCTGCACAGTGGTGTTAGGTGGCCCTGCTCTTACCCTGGACCTTCTTGCCTTTCATAAACAGCAGCCGTTTCCCACCCTGCCTGGCCTCGAGTGAGACTGCAGTTGCCCTGACTGGATCTGTCCCATCTGGCCCAGTGCTCTCCCCAGGCTTCTGGGTCCCCTTTGGGTCCCGAATCCCCGCTGCCCTACCTCCCTAGAGTCTCTGACCCCCCCATAGCCCAGCTATCCTTCCTGCCCCAGATACCCCAGATCAGCTACGCTTCCACTGCCCCAGAGCTCAGTGATGCCACACGCTATGACTTCTTCTCTCGCGTGGTGCCGCCCGACTCCTACCAGGCCCAGGCAATGGTGGACATTGTGCGGGCACTTGGATGGAACTACGTGTCCACACTAGCCTCGGAGGGCAACTATGGCGAGAGCGGGGTGGAGGCCTTCGTGCAGATCTCCCGCGAGGCCGGTGAGCTGGTGAGGGGATGCGAACTGGCTGAGGGACAGAGGGCCAGGGGCAGCAGGTGCTGGGGGGTCGGGGCTGTGTTAGTCCTTGCCCTGTGGCTGTCAAGGGCCCAGGCAGGAGCTAAACCCACTGGACCCTCAGCCAGCCTTGGGCGCTACTCAGGATGCAGCAGGTAGTGTGCAGTGGTGGCGGGGAATGTGGGGTGAGAGCTGTGATGTCCCCGACACCAGGAGGGGTCTGCATTGCTCAGTCCATCAAGATTCCCAGGGAACCAAAGCCAGGAGAATTTGACAAAGTGATCCGGAGGCTCATGGAGACACCCAATGCACGGGGCATCATCATCTTTGCCAACGAGGACGACATCAGGTGGGCGGGCGCTGACCCTGACTTGTCGTGGCCGGGCTCCCCCGTCCCCCCACCTGAAGCTTTTTCTGCCATCGTGCTTGAGTCTGGTGTGAGGAGAGCTATTCCAGGCCTTGTCTGGAAGCACGTGTCAGTTTTTATCATCACGGGGGAGATAGGCCCTGTAGGGCGCCTGCGTGAAGGAAGTGAGCTGTCAGGGATGGCTGCGATGGGGACAGGACAGAGGGCAGGAGGGTGAGCACCCAGGCCCTGAGCCAGCTGTGGCTCTGCAGCCATCCTGGGAGTTGCAGTGACACCAGTGGAAGCAGGTGCGGCTTCGGACCGGTCAGATGACATATATTTAGATTATATTTTTAGAGGCTGAGGGTCCAGCACATCCCCAGCTGTGATGGGCCCCAGGATGCATCACTGTGCAGCAGATGGTGTTACAGCAGAGAGAGGGGAGAACACACGGCAGGTCAGGGCCTCACTGGGGTCATCCTGACCCGGGTCACTGGAGAGCCCTGCAGATTTGGCTGCTTTGCAGGAGCCCCGCACCTCCCGGAACAGCCTTACTGGGGACGAGTTCCCAACACATAAACCTTTCATGGACAAAAATAAACCTATGAGGCCCAGCGGGAGGACAGCATGGGGTGGGGGAAGGCCGGGGGACGAGTCCTGAGCACCCTATATACACCGCACTTGTTCCAAAAAATGGGGCTCTGCTGAATGATAGGGAGAGAATGGGCAGTGGCCAGGACTGAGGTGGAGGGGGCCGGGCCCCCTTAGTATCCTCTTCTCGCTTTTGCCAGGAGGGTCCTGGAGGCGACACGCCGGGCCAACCTGACCGGCCACTTCCTGTGGGTGGGCTCGGACAGCTGGGGATCCAAGACGTCACCCATCCTGAGCCTGGAGGACGTGGCCATGGGGGCCATTACCATCCTGCCCAAAAGGGCCTCCATCGATGGTGCGTCCAGGGCTGCACAGTCTCTGCCCTTGCACTCCCCAGCATTTCCTCGGGGTGCCCAGTTTTCACATCTGGGCGGCTCCTGTCACGACCTGGGTTATTCTGGGTTCCCAGTCAGTGACCTGGTCCCTCCAGGCAGGGTTTGAGTGAATGGTGTGGGGAAGGTACACATGGATAGGGTCAGGGCCTGGGTTTCATTTTTTAGTTCTGTGCATCTACCTTTTATTTTACCAAAGCCACTCTGACCTGAAGAGTGGGGCTGATGTGGCCAGGACGGAGCTGCGGAATGGCAAGGAGGCCCGCCTGGCCTCCCCCAGGCTTCACACTAGGGCTGCTTGTTTTCCTGAAGCCCTGACCCGCAGAGGCCTTGGCCGGGGCAGGAGGAGCTCTCCCCTCTGGCTCGTCGTCTTCGGGTGGTGCACAGCCTGGTGCCTGTCCTTTAGCTGCCTCAGGTAGTGGCGCATTGGACTGAGAGTGGCTTTAGCAAGAGAGGCGTTGCGTCACCAGACAGGGCCTGAAGTGGCCAATTCCAGGGCAGGGCAGTGAGTTTACGGTGCTGTCCAGGACCTGTATCTACCTTCCGAGCCCTGTGCTCTGCGGCCGCCGTGCCCTTGAGCTTTGGCCTCAGTTGCACAGGATGGAGGCCACAGCTCCACCCATTCCATCTTTACAGCAGCATCCTAACCAGGAAAAGAGTGGCAGGGATAAAAATAAATAAATACAAAAGTCCTTCACGTGGTAGGGCTGAGTTTGCATCCTGATGCGGATTCCATGCTGAAACTCCTAGCTGGCTTTGAATTCATAGTGCAGGACTTAGTCACACAGCTGCTCCCGGGTGGGGGTCACCCTCTCCCTCTCCTTGCCCTTCCAGGCTTTGACCAGTACTTTATGACTCGCTCCCTGGAGAACAACCGCAGGAACATCTGGTTTGCCGAGTTCTGGGAAGAGAACTTTAATTGCAAGCTGATGAGCTCAGGTAACCAGGCAGATGACTCCGCCCGCAAGTGCACAGGTGAGTGCCGCCCAGGACAGCGCGGCAGGCTGGGAGGAGGGCAGGCCGGCGTGGCGCGTCGGGGACAGGAACACTTCCTCCGGCATCCCCAGGACAGGCGAGGAACGCATCGGCCAGGACTCTGCCTACGAGCAGGAGGGGAAAGTGCAGTTCGTGATTGACGCCGTGTACGCCATTGCGCATGCGCTGCACAGCATGCACCAGGCGCTGTGTCCCGGGCACTCAGGGCTGTGCCCCGCGATGGAGCCCACGGACGGGCGGACCCTGCTGCAGTACATCCGAGCGGTCCGCTTCAACGGTGAGCTTGCAGGCCAGCGCCATGCCCTCCAGCAGAGCATGGGGCTTGCTGTGCGTCAGGTCCGTTCCGTCTGTCACGGTTCTTCAGGAAATTTCCAGTTCCGTGGCTCACCAAGTGTGTATGAACCACCTTTCTCCACTGTGCTCCCTGCCACAGAATTCCCTGCATTTTGCTCCCAACCAGCTCCACAATGCTTTTCATCGTGCAAAACTCTGTGCCCTTCCAAAGCTCCTCCCCCAGCACCTGGCAGCGTCCAGCCCACCCCTGGCTCCTCAAAGTTCTCCACCCTGGGAGCCTCCTGGGTGCTTTTGTGGCCAGCTTTCTCAGTTAATGTAATGCCCTGAAGGCTCGTTGCCAAAGGCGTCAGAATTTCCTTTCTCAGGATAAGTATACGCCCCTGTACATCGGGACCACATCGGCCCACCTTTCAGCCACACACAACCGCTGGGTGGCTGTGGCCCTTGTGCCCCTGCGAACGATACAGCATGGAGGTGGAGGTCAGATACCTCCTTGTGTCCATCTTTTAGCGTCTACTCCCAGGAGGGAATTGCCAGCTCATCCGGCAGCTCTATTATTAATGATTTGAGAAACCACTGCTCTGTGCTCCGGTGGCTCTGCTGTTCACTTTCCCAGCAGCAGCGCACATCCCTGGGAGCTCTTGTGACTTTGTCTCTCAGGCATGAGGTGGCATATTGTGTGGTTTTCATTTGCGATTCCCTGCTGACCAGCAACGTCGGCATCCTCCCATGACCTACTCTAATGCTGCCTTGGTCCTGGCTGGGTCTCGAAGCCTGTCTAGGAGGCTGGAGCTCTAGCCGCTAATGACAGGTTCTCCCCGCAGGCAGTGCAGGGACTCCGGTGATGTTCAATGAGAATGGAGATGCGCCAGGGCGCTACGACATCTTCCAGTACCAGGCGACCAATGACAGTGCCCACAGTGGTGGGTACCAGGCTGTGGGCCAGTGGGCAGAGGTGCTCAGGCTGGATGTAAGTGGCGCAGCCCCCCCCCCCCCAGCGCAGCCAGCTGGCCTTGATTCCTGGCAGCAGGACCACCCACTGCTTCACCTGCCACAGGTGGAAGCCTTGCTGTGGTCAGGTGACAAGCGTGAGGTGCCCGCGTCTCAGTGCAGCCTCCCCTGTGGCGCAGGGGAGCGGAAGAAGATGGTGAAGGGTGTGCCCTGCTGTTGGCACTGCGAGGCCTGCGATGGCTACCGCTTCCAGGTGGATGAATTCACGTGTGAGTCCTGTCCTGGAGACATGCGGCCCACGCCCAACCACACGGGCTGCCGCCCCACACCCATGGTCCGCCTCACCTGGTCATCCCCCTGGGCTGCTCTGCCGCTGCTCCTGGCCGTGCTCGGCATCATGGCCACCACCACGGTGGTGGGCACCTTCGTGCGGCACAACAACACGCCCATCGTCCGCGCCTCGGGCCGTGAGCTCAGCTACGTGCTCCTCACCGGCATCTTCCTCATCTATGCCACCACCTTCCTCATGGTGGCGGAGCCCGGGGCTGCTGTGTGTGCAGCCCGCAGGCTCTTCCTGGGCCTGGGCACCACGCTCAGCTACTCCGCCCTGCTCACCAAGACCAACCGCATCTACCGCATCTTTGAGCAGGGCAAGCGCTCCGTCACACCGCCGCCCTTCATCAGCCCCACGTCACAGCTGGTCATCACCTTCAGTCTCGCTTCCCTACAGGTGGGGCCCTGGCTCTCCCCAGACCAGCAGGTGCCTCTGGGCTAGGGTGGGGCCAGAGGCTGGGCCGAGGTCTGTCCTCAGCTTAATTTTTTTTCCTATATTTAGAACAGGGTCTAGAGGGTCTAGAAGGTCTCACTACGTAGATCAGACTTGCGGTGATTCTCCTGTTTTCAGTCTCCCAAGCAATGGGATAGCAGGCGCTCACCACCACCCCAGTCTCAATCACTGTTACAATGCGCCTATGGATGGGGCCAGCACCCCACGCTGGGGATTGAACCCTGGCCGCTGCACTCTGCCTAGGCAGGTGCTTTAGTCCTTTGAGATACCAGGCCGGCCCTGTCCTCAGCTTTAAAAGTCAGAGTAGTAGCCAGTTGGGGTGGCACATGCCTGTATTCCAAGCATCCTGGGAGGCTGAGGCAGGAGGATGGCAAGTTTGAGCCCAGCTGGGGCAACTTGGTGAGACCTTATCTCAGATAACAAATTCGGGCGGGGATGCAGCTTGGTGGCAGAGTGCTTGCCTAGGGGACCCTGAGTTCCACCTTTGACTTCAGGAAATAAGGGGGCTATTTCTAGAGTCACTCTGTTCGGTTTTGGCTTCTATGTCAAGTATCACTGAGAGCTGCAGGAGGCAAAGCCCTTCTCTTCTAGGTCGTGAGAACAACGTGTTAGGAACATCTGCTCTGCTCTCCAGTCCTCCAGGGAGAGTGGGCCAGGAGGGCGCGCAGCCTCCCCAGCGCCCCGAGGTTTATAGATTGCACAGCTCTTCCGCAGCTTGAGCCGCCTATGAAACAGGGCAGGCTGTGTGGGGCCGAACCTCTGCAGGCAGAGGATCTGTTCCCAAGGGGCACACCCAAGAGCACTGTGGAGAGGGTCATGGAGTGAGTCCCACTGTGTGCTGCTTAGTCAGACGTGGCGTGGCCTTGGGACTTCCACGGGGACAGTAATAGCAGAGCGGGACATGACTCCTGTTCTCAGTGAGTGCAGAGGGAATTCGGGGACATGGGCTCGGGCGGCTGACTGTGGCCCTGCCTGCTGCAGACAGCCCTTCCTCCCCCCCCAAAGCTGGGAGGGGCCGGCCTCTGCACACGCACTCTGCGCGTCCCAGGCCCCAGTCCTGAGATGGCGCTGCACAACTTCCCTGCCACAGACCCTGTCGGGGCTGCTGCGCACACGTGCGCATATGGGACAGAGCCGCTCACGCTGCCCAGCCTGCACCACACCCCCTTACGCTCCCTCTGAACTAGCAGCATGTTTAAAGAGCCAGCCTTCGGCCTCCTAGGGCTTCAGCCGAGCGCTGTGTGGGCCGTACCTCACTGTGCCCATGTGGTTACTAGTGGCCTTCGGAGCCTTCATCCTGCGATCCGGCTGTTCCCACCATCTGATTTCACAGGTAGTGAGGCTGCAGGTCGGTGCAGGTCGGTAAGGGCCGTTTGAGCCTCCGGTCCTGTCCTTCCCAGTCCTGGGTTGGATTTTCTACAAGTGGCTATCCCTGCGCAGAGCCTTGCTCTGAAGTGAGCACCTATGTCACCCCAGCACTCTACTTTGCTGGCCCCTTAGCTATGGGCCTTGCTGTAGGAGACCCGCAGGAAGGTGCTTGTTTCCAGCAGACAGACAGGAGCACACCTTCCCTCAGGAGGCCTGGTGCAGCACTGGGGTGCTGTCTCGGTTCTACCCCGCCTCCCCCTCTGATCATCCGCGCTTGTGCAGTGAGCAACCTGCGCACACGTGCAGGGCAGCCCTTCCAGCCTCACCTTAGTGCAGCATCTTAGTCCCTGCCCCTTAGGTTCCTTTGGCTTAGCATCTGTGTGTTTGTCACCATGAAGGAACTGCAGCTCCCTCTCTCCTGGTCGGGCTCATTCCTACTCCGAGCTGCGCCAGGCCACTGCTCCGCTGGCCTGTGTGCTGTGTGGTTTGAGCTTCACCGTGATTTCGCTGGTTTGGTGGTTCTCCGGGGAAGGAGAGGCCTTGGGAGCTGGGTTTGCGCTGTTGCTGGACTTGGTCAACCTAGGGTTCTCCCCTGGGAGGGTAGTGGTGCCTGCTGGACATAGTGTTTCCCCAGGCCTGGCCCCAATGGGTGTACCAGCTGCTCCCCAAGATGGCACTGTGGCCTCAACACTGTGTCCATTTTGTAAGTGGAGAAACTGAGGCTAAGAAGGAGGATGTGCTTGACCTTGTGATGGTTAGAATATAAATGGGGCTATCAGGCTGCCCCGCTCCAGCCCTGATGTCACCACAGACCAGCCCTACCCCACAGTTGATCCCCAACTCAGAAGGCCGGGGGCCCGGGAGGGAGCTAGGACAGACTTGACACTGGCAGAGGGTGCACCCTGACTTGGCATGGCTCCTGCAGGTGGTGGGCGTGATAGCGTGGCTGGGTGCCCAACCCCCACACAGCGTGATTGACTATGAGGAGCAGCGCACTGTGGACCCGGAGCAGGCCAGGGGTGTGCTCAAGTGCGACATGTCGGATCTGTCCCTCATCGGCTGCCTGGGCTACAGCCTGCTGCTCATGGTCACGTGCACTGTGTATGCCATCAAGGCCCGTGGTGTGCCCGAGACCTTCAACGAGGCCAAGCCCATCGGCTTCACCATGTATACCACCTGCATCATCTGGCTGGCCTTCGTGCCCATCTTCTTCGGCACTGCCCAGTCTGCCGAGAAGGTACCTGGGGTCCCCAGTGCCAAGTGCTTCTGTCCTGTCCCAAGGGCCTCATGCCCATCTCAGCCTTGCTGCCCTTCCCTCCTTCACACCTTTCCTGCTCAGGGCCTGAGTGCTTCCCGGCTAGCAAAGCAGGAGAGCAGGCTGAGCCCACCTCTCCCTCCTCCGGCAGATCTACATCCAGACGACCACGCTGACAGTGTCCTTGAGCCTGAGTGCCTCGGTGTCCCTCGGCATGCTCTATGTGCCCAAAACCTACGTCATCCTGTTCCACCCAGAGCAGAACGTGCAAAAGCGCAAGCGGAGCCTCAAGGCCACCTCCACCATGGCAGCGCCCCCCAAGGGGGAGGACAAAGAGGACCCCAAGTAGCAGGGCTGGGAGTGGCCAGGATGGGCTGCTCCCTCCTCCCTCATTCCTGCCCCTCTGGTTGCTGCAGAGTCCAGGCCACAGCGAACACAAAGAGCCGGATCCCTGCAGGCCATGCTGGGATTCGCGGCCTCACTTCACCGCTCTGGACCTTGGGTCAGTCAGTCCACACTTGCGCCCTACAGACTGCACGTCCTGCTGGGGGAATGGCCACGGCCGCAAGGCTGCTCTAGAGAAGGGCTAAGGGCAAGCGCTCGGCCTGCGGAGAGCCTGCCACCCGCTTCCACACACTCCAAACTGGCAGGTGGAAGAGCTTTGGGCCAAGTGGGCCTCTGGGCTGGTGGCGGGGAGGTCTCCATAGGAGACACCTGCACCTTGCTGAGGAGCTCAGCTGGCTCGGTGACCCTGCTGCTGGTCACAGGGTGGCCCTGTGAGCAGAGGTCACCACATCTAGGCAGCACTGTCACCTTCGGAGCAGAGCAGCTCCTCCCGAGTGTTGGCCCTGAACCTGCCCAGCCTGAAGGATTCAGATGTTCTCGTGTGGCAGGGAGGCAGCGGGAGGCCCCTGCTGTTCTGTGACGCCTGGGTGCGGTTGTGTTCCAGACGTCCAGGTGGACCCATGACAGCCTTTTATGTCTGCGGTGAAGACTGCATAATTCAGGATGGACATAAAAACCTTCCTGGCATGTTCCTGAACAATAGCAAATGCTGGGCATATAAATGCATGAATTTTCATTTTTCAGTGATCTTTCTAACCAAAATCTAGACAGTTTTGGAATTTCATCTCCCGGGGCATGGAATTTAAATGTGTTGAGTGGGCTGTTTTATGATTTTATACTAGACACTCTAAGGTCTGCAACAAAGCGTGGAGGAGATGCACACTGCAGGCGGCCCAAAGGTTCTCGGCTGCCCACCCAGCTTTGACTGTGGGGCCGATTTTCAGCACTTCGACAATGGACAGGGCTTGCCTAGAGGACCACGTTGTCAGAGTGCAGACTTGCCTCCGCGCTGGCTGGCGTGTTCCCGGCTGCCCAGTGCACACCGCGGAGTCTCATTTATTGATGAAAGCTCTTCAAAATTCATTGTTTTGTCCGGCTTCTCCTGTGGGCTTCTCTGGCGTGTGTTTCTGTCTGTATTAGCGCTATTGTAGGATTTTCCTCCTAAATGAACACTTTGAGAGTTGGCAAGCTCAGATCCAAATGAAATTTTTCTCAGTTTACAGTTTTTGTTTTGGTACTGGAGATTGGACTCGGGACCTTGCGCTTGCCAGGCAGGCGCTTATGCTGCTGAGCTATCACCCCGGCCCCTCAGTTTACTGTTTTCTTTGCATGTCTCCAAGTATGAAATCTTTGATGTACAGTGAGTTTTGACTTCTAGTTGAAAACTTTTCTACTTTATAAGACAATATTCATGAGGTTTACCCACTCTGAACTCTGCGACTTAGAGGCAGAATGATTTCCTGGTGTGTGGCTTAGCATACTGACACCTCAGGGTCCCCTGTGTGAAGACTTTGAGTCCTGGCTTTGGGCGGACTGTCACATACTCCATGCACACATTTCTCTCTCTCTCTCTCTCTCTCTCTCTCTCTCTCTCTCTCTCTCTTCCTCTCTC